GAAGGAACTTTACAAATGTGGATGACAGAGACAGAGCTCTCTGATAACAAGGAGTGGACTGGATAAATAAGGGGCCAGATTCTCAGTGTATCAACTGTTAAATGCAGCCCCTGAGAAACCAGTCCTTTCTGTTACCTGTGATTGCTAAGATTATGACACAATGCCATTTACCTACCTGGCAAGGTAAGGCGACTTGTGGAGCTAGTGCTTGGTGCTGGCGAGCCATGAGAACGCTTCTTTGTACCTGTAAAAAGGAAAAAGAGGATGAGGAAAAGCAGGATGGCAGAAAGACTCGTTGGACAGGTCAATGCTCATCTGAAATGTTATCAAATGATACAAAAGTTTGGGTCTGGAAACAACACTTAGAAGAAGGTTGGGTGAAGTCTTGGGCGCCCACATATTCCATGGCCCAGAAAAGCAGGTGCATGCCTTTACCTCTGTAGGCACGATCATTGTCAGTCTCCTAGCTGGCATGTTGGTATGCTGGGGACCAGCACACACCACAGAGTAGGGCTACTGGAGGGTCGCCAGGGAAGCTTTCTATGTGTGCAGGTGCCTGAGCGCCACCCCAAGAGGATCTGTTTTCATTGTGCTGAGCAGAGCTCCAGCATCAGTAACCTTAACACCCCCTCTACACAGATGATTCTAATGTGCATCCAGAAAGGAGAACCACAGCTGTGGAAAGGAAAGTTCTGGATTTAGAATCGAACCAGGGGTTTGTTCCTGCTTTGTCCCTGCAGCCTTTCCTCACTATTGAACCTCAAATAATTGACCTGACTTCTCTGAAGCTGAGGTCATCATTGTCAAAATGAGAGAGAGAACAATTACATCAAAGTGTTCTGGTTGGGATTAAAGGAACCAAGGTGCAGGGGAGGGCTCAGGAAACGTGGGGGCACCGTGACATTCAGTTTGGGGTCTGAGGTTCCTGCAGCCGGCAACAAGACTCCTGTCAGTAAAGGGATTATCTTTGGTGGGCCAGGAGGGAATGAAAGGGCAGACCCCAGGTGGTAATTGGCAAGGGGAGAGAAAAACAAAGGGAAGGCTAAATTGTTCGGCAGAACATTTTGGATAAAGTGAAGGTTCCTGTGTCCAGGATTCTCACCTGGCCCTGGTCGCCTAGCTCACTAAACGTGTGGGCAATATCTTGTTATTGACTCTATATAAAGAGCTCTGCCCAATGCTCTGGGTAACATGGTGGCATGGCTGCAAGGTTGCAGGAGAGCAGATACTGGAGTGGTGGCCGTGCCAAGGACAGAGACTGAGACGGCGCGGGGGCAGAGAGGCCCAGAGGCAGAGACAGGCTTGCTGCATGCAGACTTGCTCTGAGTGAATGGGATTCTAGTGACTGACCTGCCATCATGGAAATAAAGTTGGGTATAACCCTTTCACCCCAAGAACATTCTACTGTCATTTCTTTGGTCACATTGAATCCATAGTGAACTTACCCGGGGCCAAAACCCATTGGCAAGACAAACATTTACATATATATATATATATATATACACACACACATAACTTAACAGGCATGTGTGTATGTATGTATATGTGTGTGTATATAAGTATGAAATTGTTTTAACAAAAGGAAAAACAAAACCAATTTCCCAGCCATGCCCAAGCACTTGTGAGCCAGCATTTCCAGAGGGGCCTACATGCTTCTCAAGTGCTCCAGATGATTCTGATCTTCAGGGAGGCATGAAAAACTGATAGACATTTCTTTCTTCTTGTCTAATCATTGGAAAATAAGGCATGCTACTTTCCATGGATATTCTCATGAAGCTGAGAGATCGAGTGCAATGTTGCCCACGTGAGGACATGAAAACACACACAGCACTCAGTGACTACCAACTTCAGTGTTATTCCCTGGATAAGCATCACTGTTGCCAGGCTGGTGCACAATTTTTTGTATTTACTGTAGAAATCTAGTTGGGATGCTTTCTGTGAGTGACTCAGAATCCACTCTGCTAGTGCTTTTCAATCCAGACTACACATCAGGATCATCTGCGGAGTTGTAAAGAAAATATGCTGCTACCTGGACCTTCCCTCAGAAAGGCTGTTTAATTGGCTTGGAGTTGGGCCCGGGCATGGGCGTCTTTAACGCTCCCAGGTGAGTCTGCTCAGCAGCCCTGAGTGAGAGGCGCTACATGCAGCGATTACCTCCAGAAGACATTCCTTTCAGCCATCAAGGGAGGCATTATTTCTTCTGAATGACTGGTGCGCTTTCTCCTCATGGATGCTGTGAATCTTATAAACAGTTTTTCATTTTATTTAGGGTTTCCAGGAAACAGATCCAATCTTTGACTTAACGCTGGGAACTGGGGAGGCCTGTTCAGCCTGCATTGAGTGCATCCTAATGTCTGCCCTGGTTGTTCTGTCTACACCAGCTCTACGTTTTGCCCCTGCTTTTATTCTGCTTTCTTAATGGTTTTAAAACAATTTGACAATATTTACGTAATTTTTAAAATTCTGAAATATGTTATGAATAAGGTAGATAAAATGAAAACATGAATAAACAACTCCATCAGGGCTGACATTGCGGAGCTTTATTTTCTTCATCTATAAAAATGTAAAAATAGCTATGTCAGAATGTAATTGTGAGGCTCAAGTAAGAATACACATGAGAAAGTGCTTAGCAAACTGTGCAGAGCCATGTAGTGTTAGTGATTAGTTTATATTCAGAGGAAAGCTGTGTGTGTGTGTGTAAACTGGCTCAGACGTCATCTTTGGGAGATAAGCATTTTAAGATCATAAATTAACCTTGTCCTTGACCCACGGCATGTGAACATTCAAAGAGTAAACAACCCAATCTGTCAGCTCCAGGCAGTAATGTCATCACTGCAGCTTGTATGACTGGAGGTATCTTTTGACAAATGAACAGCTTTCAGATATTTTAAATAAATGTCCTTCTTTGGTTCAGCTAAAGGGCAATGAATCCAATTCATCAGGCGTGTGGAAAAGACAGTGATACAAGTGACAGCCATGGCTGCACCTTGGGCAGATACACACACCTAAGACTCAGGACATGAGGTCAGCATTAAGCCCCAGGGGTGGATGCAGCTTGACCTTGAACAAATAATTTCCCTTCTGCAAAACAGAGTTAACACACACAAGTCCATGCCTTCTGGGAAAGGGTGACTTAAGAGGAGCCAAGCATCACCCTTAGTAATGGTCCAGCAATAGCAATGTTATAACAGAAGCAGATCCTGCAGGCAGGCTGGATGCTGCAAGACTGAAGTAGGGAAAGCAAGTAGCTGCCAATTGGGCATTTTCAATCCCTTTCTCTTAGCACATTGTGATGTTGGCCTCCATGATGCCCACCACCTCTGATCTCCATTGCTCAGGACATCTACCATCTTCTGTGTGTTCCATTTGGGGTGTGGCAGAGGGCAACGAGCCATTGCCTGATGCCTTAGAACAAATAGTCAGTTTTGCCCCTTAAGAGCCTTGACAAAAAGAGCATCAAGAGAAGTCCACTCTCTGCTCAGAGATGTGGAATCACTGAAAGAGTTTGGAGGACTTCAAACCTGTCTGTACATCGCTAAGAATTATTTCCCAATAGTACATAAATTAGAATTGCATAGTCAGGCTGTTTAATAATAATGTTTTTCCTCCCCAATACAACCACCATCAGTAATATGCTTGCTATTGTGTAAGTTGATCTGTGTTCACTACACAGAACAATGACCAAAATACAACAGCTATTCAGATATGCAACAGTATGTGCTATTTAAATATGGCATTTTAATATTTGAATATGTTTTGGAATTGGGCATAGGAATGAGGAATCTGAAAAAAAATGTTCATAACCTGTGACCCAATAATTGTACATCTAGGAATTTTTCCAAGGGAGATATTCAGAAATACAACAAGGTCTTACATATATAAAAGGCTCCACTGCTGTGTTATTTACAACTGCAAAAAAATTACATAAAGCATCTAACTTGATTGTTCAATAGTCGAAAAGGGGGTTAAGTAAACCAGCTAGAGCCATGAAACAAAATATTATGTTGCTACTGAAATTATATTAACAGAGTTTTTAAAAAATGGGACAGTACTTAACAATCCAACGTTATGTGAACAAACCATAATATGAAAGCAAATGCATTGCACTACATGGCTTCAGCTGTGTAAAAATGCCTAGCAAAGGATCCAGAAGGAAATACATTAAAGAACTGACTGAAAAATCATCCGCTAGGGTATTATTCCAAGTGATTTTCATTTTATCATAGTCCTCTCTATTTTCTTCAAAATGAGTAAGTTCTGTTTTTGCGTTCAGAAGAAACAGAAACATGTTCTGGTGTATGGCAAACATGGCTGCTTTGGAGGCACATCTCAGTCCCCTCTGACAGTAATGAGCCAGTGGAGTACCTACACAGGGACAACACATGGAGGTGGCCCAGACAAGAGGGTGGTGTGTGTGTATCACGCATCATCACCAGTAGGGGCGTCTGTCTTCACGGCTGGTGTGAAGGAGGCAGGCTGGGTATCATCCTGTATGCAAACCACTAGAACGCCCACAAACAGGGGTAAAGACTATTCCCTAGTCAGACTCCTTATGTTCATGGCTAGGGAGAAAGAAAATATTCCCAGGTAGCTCTTTCAAGAGAGGAAGAAAGAAAAAAATATGTTTGGAATTTGAAAACTAGCATCACAGGATTATAAAACCATTACTATCATACCCAGAAGAAAACAGAACATATACAAAGCCAGTTTAATTCCATGAATGCAGACATTTCTTATGGCCCTGAGGAGTTTCTCATAACCAACCCACCTCATCCCTCAAAAATGTTGTACGAGACGTGCTGCACCATGTATGTCTTCCAGTGTGCAGGCAAAGGCATGTGGCACCTGGATACTAGGTGGCATTTGGAGGAATACAAAAGAAACAGATGGTTGAGTGAATTTGGACAGCCTATATCTGGGACAGAACACAGACAACAATGATAATCACCGAGAAAAAGAAAAAACAGCCTTTTCACTTTTCAAATTTCAATTGAGAGATTAACTCATTGTTTTTATTTGGTAGTCAGAAGAACATACAAATACTTATTCATTACTAGATGCTGGGGGGAAATTATACATTGAGTACTGTCAGCCTCATCTGTGCAATAAAGAGTTACAATAAATACATCTTTAATTTATTGAGAGCAGTGTAGCATTTCTGTTTTACATGAATTCTTATGATTTACTTTTACATTTGGAAATGTGGTGCTATGGTATTTGAAGAGTTTTAGTACAAGCCAGCATCATAGGGAACAAAACACTCTTCTTTAGAAAGGACGGCCATTGTCTTGCCCTATGATATACAAATGCAAACTGCAACCTGCATTTTATTTGCTAGAAGCATGTTTCACATCATGAAAGTATATTCTATCACTGCCATAAAACAGACAAGTCCATTTTACCAACTTCCCTTTTGGAAGAGCATTCTCAAAACATATCCAGGAATCTCTTCCTTATTCCTCCAAAGAACTATTCGTACAGCATGATTTGGATTGAGGTTTGGGATTTGGATTCTGCTTGTCTCCCTCTTTTGAATTTTATTATACATTCTTGATATTAACACAGACATCTCCTACAAATCCAGCTGAACAGCAGCAAAATCTCTGGCTGAGAAGATGAGCTGAGTTATTCTTTCATATATGGCCAGTGTTCTTATTAGGAGAGAATTTCTGTAAACCCATGGTGAGGGCATAGTATCCTAAGGAGAAAAACCCCCAGGCAGCAGAAATTGTCCTCTACACTAAGGGAAGATAATAATAGCTTTATATTAGCCTCAGAATGGCTCACCTTGCTTTGGGTGACTTTTTCCCACTGCCTTTCCCCAATCTGTTCCTTACTCCCACCTCCCCACCGCCCCCCTCCCCCCACACCTTGGCACCCAACATTTCCTTATGTTGATTACCCTGGAAGAAGATACTTTTGTTTTTTCCATTATTTTTCTGTTTCCATGTGCTAAAATAATACCACCAGCAGAATGGCTTGCCTGGACAGAGGCAAAAGGACTGTGAAAGGTAGAAAAATGAGGGAACGTAAGAAGGGAAAGGTAAAAGAAAGGGTATGAAAAAGGGAGAGGACTCAAATTAGGGAAGAATATGGCTTGTACAGCAGGTACCGGAGCTGATAAAAACCTAACAGAGCTCTCCAAATGAAAAGAGCAAAATTTTAAAAAATTTTTACAGCATATAAAAATGTATAAAAATATCATTAAAGGAAGAAAAAAGGAAAATTGTATATTCTACAGTTCTATCTCTAGAATCAGTTACTGGACAATACCTATGGCTGTAGGCTTTTCTATAAATCTATGCATATTGCTGTGTGACTATTTCTGTACACACATACACCCACTCAAAAAAAAGGACACATAGAAGTCCACAAATAGATAGATCATGACAGAAAAGCAAAGACTATACACAACAGTGTGCCTCCAGGGCAATCTATTTAAAAGCCATTCCACAGCTATTGGGTTTTAATGGGATTTATTTAAGTTATCCTGCGCCCTGACAGACAGAGAAAAGCTTCTGCAGGTTCAGAAGCCAGGTCCCAGGAAGATGCATGGGTGAGGTTCAGGAACTGTGGCTGAAGCTGACCCAAGCTGAGGGCCTCCATGAGGACTGACTGGCCTGCAACAGCCAGCACTTACGCATGGAGATGGTGAATCTCCCACAAGAGACTGAGCAAGGGTGCCCTGAGTGAGCTGGAAGGACCACATGCCACCCCCTGCTTCTCCTGGTTCAGTGGGTGGCAATCAAGGCTTGTCCAATTTAGAGAAGCCAGCCATTGCTGGTGTCAATCCACTTCCACTTGGGAACAAAACCAGAATAAATGTGCATTCATCCTAAATACATCTGCAATATTTTAAAGAAAAATGGGTGGGGTGGGGGTAATTAAATAATCTGGAATTAATGATGTTTAAATGGTTTCTCGTGAATCTTTCAGTTCCGGTCTCCCACTGCACCCCACTCTTGTTTAATGTAAAAGCAAGATATTCTTTTGATAAAACAATTCTTGCTTATTGCAGACTTGCCTGAAGGAGTATCCAGTCTTTTACAAATGTCCAACGAGGACATGGAAAGGATGACTTCCCATTATTCTCATCTCCGTAGGCCCACATTCACAGAACTCAGTCTAATGCCCTAGCTAGCTCTGTTACCATTTTAATCCTATTGTCACCTCTGTGCCCATCAGTGTCTTTGATAAGAGGAAACCATAACAACTGAAATCTGGTCTCGGCAGGTAATGTGTCTCTTGGTTCTCAAAGGGAGATTTCAGAGAAATATTGTGCTGCTCGTTACAATTTTTTCATTAAATTCATTTTCTTACTGGTGATAATGAGGACTTTAATCATGAATCACTGTTGATGAATTACAAGTATTACTTTCCATTTAGTCACACATAAGATCCAATATAACATCATTGTTGCAATGTTATGTTCTTTAACATTCAATTTTGCAGTGGTTCAGTGCTACATCAACTATTACGGTGGCAGAGCACAACCAGGCAATGGTTCCCCACCATGTGTATATAGAACCTCCTATTTGCTCCAAGAGAGTTCATTTTCAAGTTTAAACATTACAACTTGGATTATAAATAAATCCACTGGTATTTCATATAGATTGGTATCATCACCCCCTTTGGAAGAGCATTTTCAGATAAATCCTCTTTTGTTTTTCTTAAATCCAAGGACAATAAAGAAGTTTTTATTTGTAATTTGTTAATAAACTTGGCTCTGAAAATTTTCCCCAAACTACCTACAATTTCCCATCCCTTATAATAAGTTATTTGTGTCACTCTAGGTAGGAGGTGTCCACATATACTTAGAATAGAAGTCTTTAGCAATGTGCTTGTCATATTGAAGATGTTGGATAAATTTTTCAGGTATATTTGAGCTTTGTGTGTACTCATAGGTGGACAGTGGAACTCAGCCAGACAATTCTGCATGTGTTTCCTGAATGCTGACTGTGTCTCCGGCATTGTGGGGGGGCCAGTGCTGCAGCCCCCACTGGGATGGATGGGGATCTCAGAATCAGAAGGAAGTTCCCAACTGGAAAAAAAAAAGTGCTGCCTGGATTCCCTAAATCCCCATCATTTGGGACATAATAGTACATACATAGGCTTTAATCTCAGAATCTTATCTATCTCATCATAAGAGAAAGATTTTGTGATTTTTTTCCTTTTGTTTTCCCCCATACTCCATGGTGAATGTGATGAAGTTATTTCTATCATGTAAATCTCTGCTCAACTGTTAAGAAGAAAATATATATTCTGCCTATTTATCTATCTATATGTCATCTACAAAAGTGATCCATAATAGAAGTGATACTAAGACCAGTGTCCTTACTCTCAAAATATGGATTACAAAATTGGTCTCCATCTTTTTGTCCGCTCTCTGTCTCACATCCTGTGATAATATTGCTCTTTACTTTTTAGATTTCACATTTATTAAAGGCAAGGTTCCAGGCAGAAAAGATAATACAATGGCTTTAATTCCACAAAGGAAATAAACTAGTACACTACATTATTCTTCAGCTCTCAGGTGTTCAGATACCATTTTACTGTTAAGTCTATCAGGACCTTCATCGGATCCTGTCAGATGTTTTCAATAGTTTTTAAAAGCTCCAAGAGTGGAATGGACAATTGAAGAAAATCCATTTCAGTTTAATGGGTTAGAAATGAGTCTCTTGCCTGCTGCCATAACCTATTAGGGCTCATAACTTAAGGAAGGTTGGCATGAATAAAAGATGGAACAAAGACCTCCCTGGGGTGGGTCATTAGGCCACCCAAGCACACCACATCAACAAAACTTGGATGTAAAGCTATTTGGTGACGTGGGGACCCAAACTCAAGGGCCAACTCCATTTATCACTTTCCCCCCAGGTATGTGTAGAACTTGGAATTTGTAAATGGTGGAAATGTCCCTACCGCATTCCCCATATACCACTCAATTCTTAATTCATGTGTGTAAGCCCTTGCTTTCTATGTGACAATGTAACACAGATAAAATGACATAATCCATGCAATGGAAACATGTGTGTCCCATATCACTGCTCTCTTGGAAGCTGTTTCAAGAAAATGCAAAGACCAAAGAAAATGAGCTAGAGCTTTGAAAATACTGTTCTTCCCGTCAATGTAGACTTGGGATCGTTATTTTAATGTTTTATCAACTCTAGTATCAATCTATAGCACAATGCTACATTGTTTTATGTGTTTAAAAATTAGATAATTTTGCATTTTTACTCAATGTCCCTTCAAACAATTTAAAACTAAGAGTTATATGGAGCTATTGTTTTCACATTGAGAGTTCCAAGCAGTTCTTTACGGATTGAAATTCTCTTCCCATTCTTTTTGAGCTAATTAATGATTTAGAGCAAATGAAAAACACTTCCATCTTTATTGGTACCAGAAAAAATGGCTATATTCCTGTTTCTTTTTCAAATATTGTTTAGTCTTCCTTGTTAAAGTATAAAAGGGAAGCTGTAGGCTTTCTATTTTGACTGAGTGCAAAGCTCTACATACAAATATACAGAATAGAAATGAGGTAAAAGGTTCAGGTTCCAAGGTCAAGAACTGACATGCACTGGTTGTGTTTTATTCCTGTACAAAACCATACCACCTCAAAGAGCACAGTTTGCAAACTGATATCCTGTGGATTAAATGCAGGCTACAGGCATGTTTTCTTTGACCAGCACAGTGTTTGTAAGTTTCTCAACTAGTTACCAATATTTGAAAATTTCAAGAGTGTTTATATAAAATCCTAGCTATCCAGAACCCCCTTTCCTACAAAGCACTAATCCCATAGCTGACTAGCAACTTCTTGCTTTCAACAGTAGACACTGTCTCCAATTCCTCACGGTTCTTACTGATCCTAACTGCCTTGCTGATACAAAAGCTCATTATGAAGTGCCATTTGTCACAGTAAATGACTATGATTTACATAGCTTGCTTAATCATTTACTTGACCTGGCAGGCCCCTGATTTGATTCTGTGACCACATTATTACAGCAGTCACTGTTAGGAAAATAGGGGAGGAACAGAAGAATATGTGTTATTATGAGGCAAAATGTAAAACTGACCAAACAACCCTGTTCAAACTCGGTTTGACTGTGCATTCTACACGACAGAGTTCTTCAGATCTTTCTGTTGGAGAAAACTGCAGTGACAACATACATAGTCTCCTTTCTGTCTGAAGAAATAGCAACATTTTACTAGAAATGAGAAGACTTAAGTGCTTATTTTTGTGAGTTTTTAACATAGAAATTAAATCTGCAGTGGGGAATACACTGTCAACTCTCTCTCCCAGTTATTAATCCCACCCCATCACCAGCAGAGTCATGTGATTTCTCCTGGGAAGGACTCAAAGGTTCCTTTGTGAACCATAAGCACATGTTAAGAACTGGTTTCATCCGAATCACACCATTTGGACCCATGAAATTACACATTAAATACACTTCAATGGATCCCACTTTTGAATTGGTTCTGGGGGCTGTATCTTTATTCTCTTCCGATGCTACATCTACTATCCTTCCTTTGGATTCATGCTATTAATTATTTCCTATCTGTATTTTTCAGGACTAAGATGAATTATCTGACATATCTCCCTGATACTAATTCCCTTAGCACTTCCCTGAATAGAAACAAGAATAATTAAGTCAAACTATAGATATCCAAAACAAGAGGACAGCCGGTGGTAAACATTTTAGTGACCCCTTAGTTATGGATGCTTTCCCATGAAGAAAATGGGCTCCCCCTGAACAGTATGGTCATCAGCTAAAACACTCAGGTTTATATTAATGAATGCACAGATAAATTAAGCATCAAATGAAGAGTCCTGGAGGACAATCTCCTTGTTTAAAAAAAAAAAGAGAAGAGAGAGAGAGAATTTCATATTATATAAATGGAAAGAAAGGCATATGAACAGTTTTTATGTCTGAAAGGAAACTGGAGAAAAAGAATGTTCCTGACTCAGAAAAGGACCAACCAGAGACCGGAAGCATCGCGTCCACTGGGATGAAGGCCAGCATGGCTGTAGCCACCGTCAGCAGCCCGTCCAAAAATACCAATTTAAAGTAATGGCATTGACAGTAATAAAATGGCAATAACTCTGTGGGTGGCTTTTTCAGGCCTCTCTCAGCATATCCAGGATGTCCGTCCTCATCAAGCCCGACATGTGCCTTGAAAGTCAGGACATTAGCAAAGGATTTTGAGGAAGTCCCTTCATGTTTTGTTTCTGTTTGTGCAAAAATCTCAAGTTGTTTTGTGTACATGGGGGAAAATCTCCCAGAGTTCTAAGACCTCAAACCAGCTCCCAGGGAGTCATCATCTCCTGGGAGGAGATGGCACAAGAGAAGGCCAAGGTGTGTGGGGTGGGGGCTTGTTTCTGAAAGCTGTACACCTTCCCCAGATATGGGTCTTTGTGGAAGAAGGAGAATGAAGCTCAGCTAAAATGATGCAAGACATTGGCAGCCTCTTTTATTGTATATGAGGTGCTCTTACTCTTCTGAATCTGAAAAAAAGAAAAAGAAAAAGAAAAGTGTCAATGCTGCCTTTCCCCCCCTTCTCCACCCTCCAGGTCTGACTGAAGAGAAGAAAATCTAAGGGGAAAAGAAAGGGGGTGGCAGGCAAACATTTCGATACCTGTCATTGGGGTCTCCTTTACGCAGCATGGTTTGTTCTGTGCATAAAGGGAAAATCTCATTGGAGCATTTTAAACACTGGTTACATTCAAAACCTTAATAGTTGTTTTTAAAACAAATTGAAACATTTGGTTCATGCAATATGGATATTAAGCCACCTTCTTTTACAGTCAAGATGACAGTGAGTGCCAGGCTGGTCAATTTGCCTCAGTGGGATTGGAAAAAATCAGATTCATCTAATCCCAACCATTTGCATACCAAAAGCAATGTTCCTCTCTCAGAATTCTTGCCCCACCCTCAGAAACCTCCCAAGAATAACCCAACTGAAGTCATTGTACAGATGGGTAAATCATCTGCATTCTCTCCAGCACCCAGAGTGAGGAGGTGGAGGAAGGCAACAAACATGGAAGCAGGACTGAGTTCCTGCAAACAGACAATACTGGATTTTTTCACCCGGCCTGCTCTACCCCATGTAACCTCCATGAGCTTGGACAAAACTTTTAAAAAGCAAACACACAAACAAAACCCACTATGTTATTGCTTCCCAAACATGTTGCATGCTGCACAAGCCACCATGCCTTATAGTTACAGAGGGTTCCCTCCTGAGCAGGGCTCTCAAGGGACAGGAGTGCAGTGGCCTAGACTTTATGGATAAGCACCATCACCCCCTGAGATGTTGGGAGTCATTAGGGGATAAGGAACAGTTCCCATCCCACTTTAAAAAACTAACATATTCTCCTAAATAAGACTTAGTTGAAATTAGGCACCAAACTAGTTGAGAGATGGGTGAGCCCTTTCTGATTCATTGTAATTACTGTCAATTCTCAATTTTCCCAGAGCCACTGATCTAGCCCTCCTGCTGTTGCTTTCTTCATTCTCATCTTCTGTCTGTTTACCCTTCATTAGCACCTTCACCCATTTGGGAGAAGAAAAGAAAAACTTCTGGCCAGTCACTTTACTCTGATACCAGCACCATCAGCAAGAGAAGGTGCCAGGTGCCTCACTGGAACTTGAGGGAAAGAGGTGAAACAAAAGTTGAAATCAAGGATTAGCAATTGTATATTGTTTCTGAGAATCTGTGTGCAATTCGGTCCACATGGCAGTTACGCAGGAGGCCCCTCCTTAGTGCTCTAGCCCTGCGATGATCAGTTTGAGGTCAGATGTAATGAGACTCCTTTTAGATGGTCATCACAGTACTAAGCACTTCAGGAGAAGCCTCCGGGCCTTCAAATGGAACCCAATTTTGTTGTGATGACCTAAGTTTGGGTTTGATTTTTTAAATAAATGACCAATTGGTTGGAAAAATGCTAGATTCAGCTGACAAGGACCACTGTCATACCTAGGGAGCCTCAATTAGCCAACAGGGAACCTGTACCTCCTTTTTCATGCAGTCTGAGTTAGCAGTGGCCAGCTGTGCAGACTGCTGGGCCCCAGAGATGGAAAGAGGTCCATCCAACATCTTAGTAGAACCAAAAGGCCCCTGAGGGGAGATTATCTCTCTTTCTAGCCATTGCTTATGAGTGAGATGAGAAGCAGCTGGCTATAGATCTCTATCCTCCCTCTACAGCCTTCTAGTCAAGGGATGGAAGGAAGACATAAACAAAGGAAGCTAGTGTGTTTAAGATGTTCATTGTCATTAAACACAACCAACAGTAAAACAAGAGGCGTATGTTCTGTAGCTGGGCTGCAACCTGAATGACCATCCCCTGCCTTCCCACACACACTCAGAGTAACTTGTGTTTATGGATATGTCAGGGCACTTACTGTAAGGTACCTAGTACCATAGCTATCTGCAAGAAGATGTTCCACCCATCTGTAGACTCCTTGAGCACAGGGAAAATATCTTTTATCTTTATAGCTTTTCTTGCACGTAGTGCAGTACCTGACACATAGCATATGCTCAACAAATTATTACTTTTCAATTGAAAGAAAGTAAACTGACTAAGCATAAGGTAGATGGGACAGAAAAGAGCATAATGATGAGTAGGAAGTTTCTCGCCACCCTTTTTCTGGACTTTCATAGCATGAAATAAAAGTTAAACGATCATAAATACGTTGCTTATTTTTGTTCAATAGCAACATACAATATGTCAAAAATATGTATTTTCTATGAAGAGCCCCACTGTGCATGTTACCTGGTGGGACTCATATCCCAGAGAAGGGGCACCTGCTATGCAGGCAGCTTTCACATGGCTTGTAAGTCAGCCCTGCTCCTCTCCTGGCTCTACACTTCCTCTCCTCAACTCCAAACGGCCTATACTTGCTTTGTTGTGGTTGTTTGGTTTTATGCATTTTTTTCAGTGTCAACTAAAATTGGGTAAGCATTTTAAACTGAAATTTCATATACAAAGTATATGAAAATAAGGACATGAAGACAAAATGTAAGAGACTACTCTGTATTTAATTGAGATACATGACTATTTCTGTTATAGCGGCTTTGCATTACAGTGATTGTAAGTCTCTTTTGGCTTTTAGGAGGCCTCAAAAAGCAGTGAAACTCATCCACCTTCTAAAGAGTAATTGATGAACTGAAATGGAAAATATCTTCACCAACATGGGGTAATTTAAGAAAATATCTAAGCTAGTGCCATCCATTTATCCACCCCTTGACCAAAGACTTCTTACATCTCACAGAGGGGCAGTCATGGGGCTCCAAATCCTGAAGGGCATGTTTTGCCAATTCACAGAAATATATTTACTCGAAGGGAATGAATAACAAAGAATGTTTCAACAATTTCATTTAGAGAAATAGGAGATTTTCAGTCCCAGCAACTCTACCATAGCTGCTTCCCAGTGCAGTCAACTTTCTACAAAAAACAACAAAATGACAGGCAAGCAACAGAAAGAATTGTAAGCTAAATAGGAAACAACAAGAACAACATCTAGGGAAGAATAAATGTGTATAAAATCAAATCCAATTTTAAATGCCTAGTATAATTTCTAGATATTTCAAGTCCCATAGAATGGGGCTTTTAAGTGGGTCCTGGTTTTGTTTTGTTTTTTAATAATGAGGAAATACTAAAAACAAACATTATTATACAGATTGCTGTTAGGATTTATCCAGGCATAGATTTCACTGTTCTGGATCAGAGGGGCAAGATAGCTATTTAAATGGGTATCATCAAATACCCATAAGCATGTTCTGCATGCGTTTCTTTATTTATTTCCAAATGATAAAGGATATGATTGTTGTAGGATCATTCTAAATTAATTTCACTGCATATAATATCAATGCTATAGCCCTACTAAGATAGATGGGTAGATAGATGGATTGATGCATGGATGGCCAGACAGATGAACCGACAGAGTAAATTTGTGGGAATATAACTTCCTGAAACCTTGCCTACAAAGTCATCTTCTAAAATGTACCCATTTATCCCAATAAACAGAATAAGAGTACCCAGGATATAGTAGTTCTTAGGTCCAACCCTTGCCCTCCTTTTCTGTTTATCCTTTTGATCCATGGCATCTGTGCTACACTGAGAATAATGATGGTGTTAAACTTTTATTCTTCAACTTTACTGCCTTCTCTCCTCCCTTCTGTGGCATGGTCTTTTTTCTCAACTTAAAACATGAATAATTGTCTTCTTCTGTCCTACACTGCCCAAGTTATTAAATGCTTTACTCTGTATTAAGAACTTAGTACTTTAATACTATGGAAGCAATTAAAGTACTCAACTCTCCACATGCCCCAGGCCCTGGCCCACTGCTAAGAGTTAAGTAAAATCAGGCATCAACAGCTCTTACCCTCTTCTGGTGCTGGTGAAGGTTGAGCTGTCTGCATACAAGAGTTTTGTTTCTGATCAGTCTTTGCTATTTTTTAAGCCAAAAAGAAGCCAGAGACCATAGACATTAAAGAAATCTTTCAGAGAAAAGTTAAGTGAGGCTGAGATTTTAGACCTGAAACATTCTGACAGCTCTTCATGTTTTTCTCAGTTTTATTAGTTCAGAAAAAGCAATGAAAGATTCAAAATGAATGAAGGAAAAACATTTTTCTCTCATGTTTTCACTGTGGCTCCTGAGTATAGAATAAAAATAGTATATATTAGAGAGAGCTAATACTTATGAAATACAGATGTCATCACTTGGAAATCATGGTGCTTTTCTGTGAAGAATGCTAAGAATAAATACAAAGAGGAAGCTTCAGTATTTGCTTGATATTATATTTTTAACAGCTCTCCTAGCATGTGGGTGTCTAGAAAAGAAATGGCACAAACAATGTAGACAGTGTTAGCTCCTGATATTGGCACATATTCATTCCAAAGGCTGCTGTTATTTTAAAGATTTTTTTATAATGTTAATAGAGTTTCTTCTGACAAATATACTGCTTGTTTCTCCAGCCCCTTGTGTAGAATCTGACAAAATCTAATTTTCTAGGGTGAAAAACAGATAAACATTATTTCATGAACACTAAGAAGTTATTTTTAATTCTGAACATCCCCTATTAGGGAAAAAAAAGAAAAATCACATTTTCCCCAGTAGTTCCAAAATTATAATCTTCTGTGCCAAACCAGGCTCTTTTAAAAATACAATGGTCCATTAAGAATGTAACAAAATGTCTAGAAGATAGAGGGAAACAATGAAAGCTTATGTACCAATAATTTGGAGGGAAAAATTGTTTAGAAGGATTAATTTTTGTCATTAACAAAGAGTATATAATATAGTTTTATTTGATATTTCTACTATGTAGTTATTTGGTAAGAGACTGTAATTTAGCTATATAAAAAGCATGAATTGACTTTAAAAGTTTTCCTTAGTATAACAATTTCTTTTAACCTCACCAATCTTTTATCATATTACATGTATATAGATAGATAGATACACACACACACACACACATATAGTTTAAGTTGCTATTTTGATACTACAA